TTAGCTCCCTCTCAATCAAGAATGGCGTGGGGTTAGGTTTTTTTGCGTTGGCTTCCTGCTGGGTCATGCCCTTGCATTGACCATCTCCCGCATTTGCACTGCGTGATAGTGATTGTGGTGTAGAGGCCCTGAAGTCGGAGCCAGCTGTAGTCGCCTCCGCCGCAGAGGGTAGCTGCATTTATGCTGCATGAAAGTACCACACTATTTCCAGCTAACTCAGCTATCTTTGTGCCATAATGCGGATGAGTACTATGTCACCTTTCTTTCTCGTACCAGTTTTTGTACTGTGCTGCTGTTGAAACAAGCTTTCAGCTACTGAGGAAGTTCTTTTTTTGTGTCTACATTGATACAGATTTATTGAAGTAAACTAGACTCCTAGCTATAAATAAGATGGAATACATTGTGGTTGCTGAATGAGTTTTACAGAAATGTCTATGAAGGGCATCCAGTTCGGCAGTATATTTTAATATGCTTTTTTTTACACAAGTAACTTATTTTTGGTCATGCCTGAGATGTACCAACAACCTCCATCATGCTGAGTTTATTTAAAGAGTCATTGAAACAGTAAATAATATTATGATTTAGAAGGCGTAGGGGTAATAAAGAACTTTTAATTCAGGGTAGAACAGATGATGAATGGCAATTGGTACTTAACAGTGGTATCTATGAACTTTAGAATTTTAATAAAGAATTAGAGGTTGTTTCTCCAGTAAGGACCATTTAAAAGAGATTAAATGTTTCTGAAAATGCTGCATTTCTGAAAATTATTTGGGATCGTTCGAGAAATGGCCTATCAGTAGGTAAGTCTCCACAATTTCTTATATATGCCAACATGTCTTTGGCAGTTACATCTCTTTTTTAAAATCCTTTCTTCTTTCCTGGACTGTCATTTGTGCTAATATATTCTGGTTTGGGACATAGAAACACATTTGTGTAGTGGTTTAAGAAACTTGCCGTCCCTCAGTCAGCTATGTGGAGTGTCCCACAGCTTTTGTCACCTCACAGCTGCAGATAGGTAACCTTCAGCTAGAAGATTGCTTTAATGAAGCTGAGACAGCTTTGCAGACTCCCGTCAGAGTATGTCTTTACTTCTACCACCACTTTTAACTTTTCAGGGTGCAGCCTATGGGTGGCACTGCTTTTATTGAAGTTTACCCCCTCCTCACCTCCCCGTGATGATAGCAAAGCAGCTGTTCCCTTGATGAGAAATGAAAGGAGGAGGCATTTCCATTCTGCTTGAATTTTCTGGTCAAGTTATCTTATCCAGTGCTATTAAATTCCTTGTTTGCTACACCAGGAACAAAGAACATTCTTATTTTCATGCAATGTGAGGTTAGTTTTGTCCAAAAACTAGGAAGATTCAAGTGCCCAAGAGAATCTAGAAGCTTCAGATATTACATGTTGACCTTGTTCCTTGTCAGGACAATTTTATGTGGTGATAACATTTTATTTTCCTGATGAGATCAGCAAACTGTTTGCTTTTAGTGGCATTCCTGATGCTGGATGCCCAAACGTGGGGTAGAGCCAAGATGATGCTCATGCTGTGACCACGTTGACAACTGTTTACATATCTCATTGAAAAGAAGAAACTTATTTCCTGCATCTTTTAACAGTAGACCTGGCAGACCTCGCAGCCGATGGTTGGGGATGACCCTGCTCCATTTAGAGCGATGGCTTTCCGCCCTTGTTTTGGATTGTCTGTGTAGAGAGCTTTGTAAGGTTAGACTTTCTCAGTTACCTTTCCTGAAACCAGTCTCCTTAAAGAGGGTGTTCTTCTAAAACACAGATGCAAAAGGAGCCCTCTGATGGGCAGAGATGATGATAGTGGCAGAATGTTTAGTATAAATACAGGGGTGTGTGTTAGCTTCACCTTATCTAGTACAGGAAGGGCTTGTTCCAGAGTTTTAAGGATTTTTTTTTTTTTTTTAACTTTCCATCTCTAATTTAGCTCAGTCATTAATAAGAATGTTCTGCTTGTAAAAATAACTCTGGATAATCTAAAAATATGTTTGAAAATGCTTCTAAATACATCAGCACTTACCATTGCTAAATGGTGACAGTCATTGTAGCATTATTGGAAAACCAGTTGTTTTCCACTCTGCATATTAATATTCATTCAAAATGGGTGTAACGGTGACTGCTTCTTAAACCGCTAAGAAGCGGAGTTTATATCCAGAGACTCAAGTATTCTGGTACTGTATTGGTTCGTACAAGAGCCTGGATGGATTCAAGCAGGAAAGTGGTGTGCTGTGTTCCATTGGTCTCTCACAATACTGGTATCGCTTATGCTGCTTTGCTACTCCATTAAAGTGCCAGCTCATAAATTTTTTCTAATGAGTATCTTGTAAGATCTTGTGATAAGTTTCAGACTAGTAGGTACATTCTTAGAAAAATACCAGGCTTAACTAGGTATCGAGCTGTAGAGTTGTTACCCATTAGGTAACTGAGAAGTGGAGATAAAGAATATCTGCAGCTTACAATGGAAACTGCGTATGAAGCCAGGTAATGCTAGACTTCTGTCCTGAGCCCACACACGCGTTCTGTTAGTTCTGAACCGTCTTCAAACTTGCGTAAGCAAGCATCTGTCCTTCAGAAATATACTGTGAAACACAATATTGCGTTGCTGAGTCCTTTTATCTCTTCACAGCAGATAGGCAGAAGGGAGTAAAAATAGTGCTTGGCAACTCGGTTGTGTTTGGGGACAGAGAGTAAGTCTCTCTTAGTGTTATACCCTGAACAAAAATGGTCCTTTCTCTGTGGGTGTGTGTTTTACTTGCCTCTACGTGGTTTAATTTTAATCTGCTGTACGACGTCTGGGCTTCGAGATAAAGTAGTTCTTTATTACCTGTCTTTGTCATTGTTCTTAATATGCACGCTGAGGACTTGAGCTATTTACTGGACCACCAACGATTTCATATTTGTCTTTGGCCAAAGACTTTTCTTCAAACTGTATTTTACCTGAGATAACAGTTGCTAATTTCTGGTTGCTGACACTGGCTTTACTAGAGCACAGAGAACTCCGCAGTGTGAGAAAGACGTAGGTAGAATTGCTACAAAGGCTACAGAAATATCTGAGTTCGTGTTGATGCCATAGTTGGAAAATAAAATTGTTAATCTCCTTTTATTGAAATTATCTCTGTATACCGAAGCACCATTGTTTTTTTAATTCGCTCATTAGAGCAATGCTTCGCTGTTTTTCTCCTCCGCTTACAGCTTACTTTTCCATGCATCAAACTGAAAAGAGGAGGTACAAATGACTCGGCAACAAAGCAAGCAAAGATGTTGAAAACAGTAGCAGCAACAAAAGCATTCTTCAGAAGTGTCTTATTTCTGTAGTGTGACATTCCCTTATCTCTTCAGACACTTCCCACATGATTGTGGTGTTACTTCAAATTCTTTTCAGTATAATCAATCAAGACTGTGTTTAAAAAGAAATGAAAAATCCGCTAATGAAAATAGAAGCATGGCATAGATGACAGGGTAAATGAGAGCTCACCTGAAAAGAGAAACCTACGTTTCAGAGTATGAATTTGAATTTTTCAGGCTAGCCTGATACACAAATCTCTTCTGCATTGGCCTCCCAGTGAAACACAGCAGATACATAAGTTCTTGTATATATCAAAAGCCACTTAGGGTCTACTGAGGAGGTTTCACAATTACTGTAAGACTTGAAATTCTATTTTGAAAAAAATCCAGTGAGGTATGGTGGGTTGTTTGGGGGTTTCTGTATGTATGTATCTCAGTGAATTCTGCCCTGGATATCTGACTTTCTAAGTAGACCTAGTATTCAGCGTAGAAGTACCAAAACATTGGTAATTCTTCCATTGGGGTTTTTAAAATAGAGCAGCAATATTTGAGTACACTTGCTTACATGGTCAGTTTTCAGTTTAAAACCTGCCTTAGAAATTTCAGACAAAGATGCTGGCATCCTTTGAAAAGCACAGAGGACTTGTTTTCTGGGATACAGAAGAGCTATTGGCACTTAGTGATGTCATTACATAGCTTCTGCCTGTTGAAGAACTGTTTCTTCAAACAGTGGATGAACCTTCTCAGTCTTTTATTTCTTTCTGTTTCAGTGCATGAACTTCATAGCTTCTTGGTTTGTACTTTTTTAAGGATAGTAAAATAGTGTGGTGGTATTCTCTTTAAAAAAAAAAACCCAGCAACTTAGTAGCTTTTATCAAATGCTGTAACACAGTATTTGATAGAAGATAATAATGCCTATGTCTTCTGTGTGCGTCTGGCTGGTAACCTGGAATATTCCAGTTTTGTATCCTTAATACCTATGTGATCTGTGAATCAGAGAGAGAATGAACCGTGCAGTTAGACTATACCAAACTCTTGTTCTCTATGTTTTGGGGTGGGCTGGGGCAGGAGGGAGGAGTTTTGTTCTTCACGTACAGAATGCATTTCCTAGGTGTCATGGTTTAACCCTAGCCGGCAACTGAGCACCGCACAGCTGCTCACTCACGCCCCCCTGGTGGGATGGGGGAGAGAATCAGAAGAGTAACAGTGAGAAAATGCATGGGTTGAGATAAGAACAGTTTAATAATTGAAATAAAGTAAAATAGTAGTAATAATAATAAAAGAATATACAAAGCAAGTGATGCACAATACAGTTGCTCACCATACGCCGACCAATGCCCAGCCAGTCCCCGAGCAGCGGCCCCCCCCGGCCAGCTTTCCCCAGTTTATGTACTGAGCATGACGTCACATGGTATGGAATGTCCCTCTGGCCAGTTGGGGTCAGCTGTCCTGGCTGTGCCCCCTCCCAGCTTCTTGTGCACCTCCAGCCTTCTCAGTCAGTAGGGTATGGGAAGCTGGAAAGTCCTTGCCTAGTGTAAGCACTACTTAGCAACAACTAAAACATCGGTGTGTTATCAACATTATTCTCATACTAAATCCAAAACACAGCACTATGCCAGCTCCTAGGAGGAAAATTAACTCTATCCCAGCCGAAACCAGATCACTAGGTTTAATTATGTTTGTTTCTTTGGTAGGATTTTTCCAGTTAAAGATGTACCTGCAGAGCCTGAAGCTCTTACACACTGGTTATATCAACGATTCATTGAAAAGGAGGATCTCTTGACGCATTTCTACGAAACAGGTAGGATGCTATCGAGCAAAGAGAATTGTGCTTTGTTAATGTCTTTTCTTACAAGGATCTCAAAATGGTTTAAGAATGCATATACATTCTTCACACAAATACAATAGATATAATTATCAATACTTCCTATGTGGCAAAAAAAGTATGATAAGAAATTATCTAGGAAAGGTAAATTACCCAGGTAACATTAGAATATAGGGTAGTGTTTGGAAGCTGCCACATTCAAACGGATCTAAGGAAATCCTCTTTTTTTTTCTTCAATAACATAGTTTAGCCATGAAGCCTGCTGCCACAGGATTTCGTTGAGTTGGAATAATTCAGCAAGATTCAAAGAGGTAGTGAACATTTACATGCATAGTAAAAGTATTCAGAGATATGTTAAGTTTGGAGGGGATATAAAACCTTCAGGGTTTAAAATGAGCAAGTTCTTGACTAAAAGGGATTAAGTAAGACTCTTATGTGAGGCAGGTTACTTTATCTGCTTAGTGCGGCTATTTAGCGTGTTCCTCTGGCACTTGTACTGTTAGAGAAAACTGATCTAAATAGTCTGCAGGTCTAATCCAAACCCATAGTCCTCCTCTGTTTCCTGTTAAGCTAAACAGAAAGATGCTATGGTTGGAAGGATCTGGAAGAATTACATAGCGCAAAGTCTCTGGAGTCTTGATCTGCAGCTCTGTGCTGTGAGTACTGGCCTCCTTGTTGTGAGGTACCGAGGATCACTTCTATAATATACTTTCAATGTTAATGGATCAGAGGAATCTAAATAAATTTAGGGCATTAATAACATTACGGAAGGGATACTGCCAAACGTGATCTAAAGTATCAGGTAAATACTTTGAAACTATAGCTGGAGAAGTGTTTCCTCGAGGCTCTTTTTTTTCCATCCAATTGATACTGAAGTATGTCATCTGCCCTCCGGCAGGTAGGGGTGTGTGTGTTCAGAATACAAAACAGAGGAATTCATCAAAATAAAAAAAAGAAAACCCAGAGAGGAAAATACAGAGGGTTTTTTTTAGACATAAAGGAAAGGAAGTTTATCAAACATAGACTGAGTAGGAAGACTCCAGATGAAATAATGCAGCTTGTCTCTGAAGAAAAATAATCTCTTCATTAGCAAGTAGCACAGTTGTTGAGGGGGGGAAATATTGTCTCTTGAATCAACCAAGTTTAATATTCCAGAGTGACTATGTTAAACAAAGACGCTACTTCTATTAGATGATTTATTGGTTTAATTTGGTTTTGAGTGCTTAATTTATCAATGATAGCACTTGAAAAGATTAATGGAATTCTTTAACAACCCAGAGTTGTATTTTGCTTTATGAAATACTGCTGTCACTCATCCATCATTGATGGCAAAAGTCAGACCCTGCTATATAAATTGCATCCAAATGCATATATTGGACTTTATTAGACAAATAAGTTTGTGAATCTGTTTAAAACTACAAGTGTAGTCAATAGGGGGTAAGGAATCCTTGTTATTGAGACATTATTTCACAAATACCATTAAAATAAATCATACCCAAAAAATCTAACTAGACCAGAATTTCAGAGAGTATAATGAATATAATCAGATTTATTCGTTGAAATGCGCTTCCAAAATAGGATAATTGGTTATAATTTGTTAATGTAATCAGTATGAATTAATAAGACATGTTTTAAATGTAAATGCTATGACATAGACCTTATTAGACATAAATTAGCATAATTTAAAGTTACTACCATTTGTGCCAGTTGAGAACTAGAGCTTGCATTGCTTTTGTTGGCTTACTGCAAAAGTGCTGTTACAGTTTTTGGAAACCCCCTGGAAAAGTCCTGAGGCCTAATGTGAGGGGAATCCCTGAAGCTGCTCACGAGCTAGCTTTGTGTTGACATGTTACGTTGTCTCAAGTTGGTGTGGTTTTAAGACTTAGGGTTGTTTCAGCATTTTGATTTTTTTTTTTTTTTACTTTTTTTTAAATACACACTGCTTAGGAACTTCTCTCAGTTCATAAAGCTTTTTGTCAGCATTTTGATTATTTTTTTTTACTTTTTTTTAAATACACACTGCTTAGGAACTTCTCTCAGTTCATAAAGCTTACTTCATAAAGCTGGAGTAACATTTAGTGCTACGTGAAACTTTAAAAGTTTGTATTGACAATGTCACTGGTAGGAATACATTCTTTTGGCATATTTTTATTTGGGAAGAGGAAAAAACAAAGCCTAAAACACCTTTTTCCTTTTTGCTATATTCCTAAGTGTTAAGAACTTTAATGGATCTGGGGAAAACCTGTAATATTAGACCTCTTAAAATTAAACGAAAGAAAGTATCTGCCTAAAATTTGAGCATGAAACTGTCCCATCCTTTCTTACAGGTGCATTTTACACATTTCATCTATAAAATTAAAACTGTTTACAGTTAATATCTGTAGGTATGAGCAACACAAAGACTCCTATTTTAGCAGCTAGTGGAAAGCTTGTATTGGCAAGTTCATGATTTCTCTGAAGTCTTCAGCAGGATAACCTTGAGCACTGCTGTAACACAAATGAGATGACATTTAGCAGGACAAAAAAGCTTGGAGACTAATTAAAAAACCCCCTGTAAACTAGGAGCTTATCGGTTGGAAATGAGTAACTGTATACCGAAGTCATCATGCTCCTCATTCACTCTGATCATAGCCAGCTGGTGTGATGTAGCTAAAAATGTAAGCAATGTCATCCTACCGGGCAACAGGAGAGGGTTGTCACCAGTGCTACGGAAATACTCTTCATTGCACCAAATCTGAAACCTCATCTGGAAATCCTGCGTACAGGTCCGTCATCCCCGTTCAAGAAATATGAATTGAACCGGGAAGAGGGACAGACAATAGGTGCTAAGGTGATTAAGGGGAAGGAGGAGTCGTTTCTGTGAAGGACAACTAAAAGTGCATGGCTTGTCTCAGCTAGGAAAGTGAAGGATCATTTTCTCTGTAAGATACAAGTTGGCTTGGGAGAGGAGGAGGGGGAAGAGACAGTTGCTATCAGTACCAAGGAAAAAGGGAATTTATTTAAACCAAAGGTCAGTGTTGGTGCAGGAAAACAAATGAGCCATGGAAGAACAAATGTAGAGTGGACAAATAGAAGCTTAGCAATGAGAATTACTGGGGAATAAATGGTGTGGCAAATCTGCCCGGGTGTGAAAGTACGTATCAGTGAGAGGAGGATGGGACTCATCAAGGGGTTTTTTAGGGTTGTTTTTTTAGGGTGGTTCTTAGTTGTTTTTTGTTGGTTTTTGTTGTTGGGTTGTTTTTTTTTTTTTTTTAATTTAAGAGCATTCATAGAGGAAGAAGAGCGTTGTCTTAAATGCTTGATTGCAATTCCTCCAGTGATTGCAAATGTGAAGCATAGAGATAAGTTGCTGATGGTATCTAATTGCCCAAATTGTGTGGTTTCTGAGATTCAGAATTGACGCTGCTATATCTTTACTCTTTGAATCATTCATCATCTCCTGTTCTTCTATGAGTAGTTGTGACTCCATAATGCTGCAGCAAGTACATCATCTTCTCTGGTATATTTAGAGTTTTTATATCCACTGTTCAGGACTAACAGCAACAAAGTGGTTCATATCACTTAGGCTTTGTGCATCTCAGTAAAATGTAACGCAAATTATTTAATATGCTGATGTAAATACACAACAAAGTGGTCTTTGTGCATCTCAGTAAAATGTAATGCAAATTATTTAATATGCTGATGTAAATACATGCCAACAGTTTGCTTATGATCATAAAGCTCTGATGTATTCAGACACATGTAATTTAGTGTTTTAAGTCAGAAAAGGTCAAAATAGGGAAAAATTACTTTTTTTAATCGTGTCAGCTGTATCTCCTGCGAGTCTTTCTCATCTGAAGAGACGTTTCAAAAAAATCTTTCTGAAAAACTGAATAGCAAATTGTAATGCTTCCTTAGCCTATAAGGCTGACTGGCCAATGAATGTTCAAACAACATATGGAAACTATTGTTTTTAAAAAAAAAAGGAAGGTGCATGTGTATATGTACCTATATATTCAAGGGGAACCTTGAGTGTGTGTGTATTGCTTCTTCACAGTATACAAAATCATTACCAAACAGCTGTAAAGTTTAATGTGGAGTCCATTCAATTTGATCATACGGACATTAACATAACTTCAAAAATAACACAGAAAACTTAGTTGACAGTCGGATCTCCCTGCAAAGTTGAGGATGGCTGCTTTTAAGGAATGCTTTGAAGTTTATGCTTAAAGTTTAAGTTTATATCCAAATGAAATGAAAATTGTTCTTAATAATAAAGAAAAGAGTGTGGTTTTTTAAATTTTCTTGAAGATAACTGATAATGGCGGAGAGTCTTTTGAAAGTTTAACAGCATAATACAGAAGTAACCGATTAATTGTTTGTGGGCACTGTTGCTGGGACAAACAGTGACAGTAAAGAATCGTGCATTAAGGCTATCGTTCCTGCTGCAGAAGCATTAAATGTGTTTTCTTTTCTCTTTTAGGAGCTTTTCCTCCACTACAGGGTCAAACAAAAGCTATTTCTCGGGAGATGACCCTCAGTAACCTGTGGCTAGTCGGCATACAATCACTTGCGTTTTTGTCAGGCGGTATGTGGTACTGCATCTTTCAGTATTTTTATCATTGCCTGTTTTAAAAGTGGAATGGGACCTGAGGACACAATGGGAATCCAGGCTCTTGCAAATGAATATCATGTTGTATGTGCAAATGCGAATATTCAAGAGTAAAGGAAAATACTGGACGGACTCTTACCTCTCTTTGGGGAAATTTTAAAACTCCACTAAAAGTGAAGATCAGTAACATAGTGACCTGATGATGTATTATTTTAAGAATTGTCTGTATTTTTAAAAATGTATACTCTCACCCACACTTAAGCAAATTCAGCATTTGGACAAAAGGTGCAATCGTACAACCACCGTAGAAGAATGTCTGTGACAAGAAAGCTCTGTCACCACAAGTATTTCTTGGCATTGTAGTTAGAGCTCAGAAAATTCAGCAACTTGTCTCTTCAGTAGTCTGTACAGCATTGGTGTGGTAGAGATTCCTCATTTGCACAAACTTGTACTTTATTGCAACTCATTGTGCTGGAGTCAAAGATACTCGGCAGAGCTGGTGGCGGTATCTTTGCGGCTACGCAGTCAGCAGTTGTTGTATTAGACACATTGATCTAAAACCAAGACCCAAATAAGATCCAGCGTCAGGTGTGTTTTGTGAGGAATCAGTCCTCAAAAAAGCATTGCAGCATCATCGTGTGATTAAAAACTATCCACATTTGATGAATCAGCCCATCCCTGCTGTGGTCTTACCATCAGCTCTCCGAATTCCGTGTGCTACCAGTATCTCATCGTATGAGGAAACTTGGAAAATATAAAGTCCCTTGGTTTATTTTTCCCTTTTTGTTCAGAATGCATCTCAACGATCACTATCAGTTTTCACAATGCACTTTTGAAGGTGAAAATACAGTGAAGGAAAGACATAAAACTTAGGGAATAGGGGAAAGCTTTATTTGTCACGCATTGGAAGCCAGAGCAATTCTAGCTGTTTCTGAAGGTCTGCTGGTGCTGCTGGTGATTTTTAGCCACCTTTGTATTTTGTATACTGCAGTCCAACCAAGGTGACCTTTGAGTGGTTTATAGAGGCCTTTTTCTCCCCGCTAGTTGCAACAGCGCTAAATATACTTGTGGGAGAGTTTAAATAATTCAATGCCAACCATCTTAATGTTTTGCTAAGGAGTAATAGAAGAAAAACTAGTTTCTTAAATAGAAAAAATAGGTATAATTGCTATCATAAATCTATAGGAAGATACTACTGTGGAAAAAAAAAAAGTATGGTAAATACTCTGAATAACTACATGGAGGGCAGTATTAATTAGCGTACCACTGTGCTAAAATCTTACTGGAAGAGGGATGAGTTGAATTTAAAGGCAGACGGGAACAGAAGACACGTTCGGATGTGTAACATAGGATACTTTTGAAAGGATGTCTATGATGTACTGTCTTACTTCTGGCAGGTCTAGTTGGCATCGTGTTTATGTGATTATACACAGATTTGAGAGCTGTTCCTAAAATAAAACTAATCTCTCTAAATACAAGCAGGATAGCCAGAACTTCAGATGTTGGCACACTGCCTTTTACAGAGTAATTTTACTGAGAACAAAGTAAGCCCTCAGTAGTTTTGGCTCCGAGTTAGCAATATTGATCCCCCTTCTCTCTCCCTTTCCTGCTACATGAATCACGGTGGGTGGTGTGCAGAATACAAAACCTAGCCAGTGTTCCCTTTGCGGGGGGGGGGAGCTAAGAGCATACCAAAATACGAGGCAATGCCAATTTCCCTGACTTAATGGAAAAATACCTAGTCAAATATGCCACCCCTGTCCCCCCAAAAGCAGTAGTTTTATCCCGAGGTAGCTCAGTGGGATGGCTGCAAAATGATACACCATAGTAAGTTCCCTGAACTATAAGTCCCCTCATGGACGTGAAAGAACCACTGCAGCTGGGAGGCAAAGGACGGGGTTGCCTACAGTGTAATGTTTTAGGTAAGATACTGTTTCTAAATCCCTTCTCTTTACACCCAGTCACACACCTGAATTCTGGTGTAACGTAAAATCCGTTTAAAAAGAGGTATGCCCTGAAAGGGAGGCAGTCTTGGGAGTATGTTTTTCTTCCTGTTGCTCTTGTACATTGGCTAAAGTACAGCTGATGGAATGAATGTATTTAATCTGCCATTTTACAGGAGGGTGTTCGGGGCAGCCCGGTGCCGTTACCGTGTAAGTGGTTACGTCTGCTGCACGTGGGCGTAAATGGACCCTCAAAACTGCAAAATGCAGATGCAGGCTACTCGTTTCTGTCCTCTGCCAGGTGGCTTGATCAGAACCACAGAGATGCCCATAGTACAGCTGGTTTTATTTTGAGCTAGGACAGACTGGAGTGATATAAAAAGGGAAGTTTATATAAGCAGATTGCACAGCAGTAACTCGCATCAGGAGGTTGTTCTTTGTAGACCCTGTGAATTCCATGTCAGAGCATACTGTTTTTTCAAATGCAGTACATTTTTTTTTATCCACACACACCACACACCCCCCCCCCCCCCCCCAGTGGATTGCAGTCAATAGTGAGTGTTCACATGCTGCCTAAAGAAATTAGTAATGCGCAATAATGTTTCAGATAATCATTTGATTTATCTGGTCCTGTTCATTTTCAGTTTGTTCCTCCATAGTTCTTACTATTGCGAGACATTTGTTTTCACGCACTGATTGTTGTTTTGGTAGGGTGAGTAAATAGTATTAGGTCTTAGGCTTCTTTCCTGCCTGCACTGAAAAATGTGAAGAGAGCCTGACGTTGTGTCTCCTTACGGCTGAGTTGCTGTAGATGACAGTGGAATGAAACCGTTCTTAAGAAACTCGGAAGTACCTTCCCAGCATGAACTTGGATGCTGCTTCATGAAAGAGAATAAGTTGGATAAAAGAAGCTTTTCTATTAGGGGAAAAACATAAGAAGTATACAATAGATAGGAAACGCTGTGCTAAAAATACCATGCTGGTCAAGACTGTTTGGAGCTTAGCAGGCTGGTTTGTAAAATGTAAATTCCTGTCGGTTGCAGTTCAGTTCTACCTTCTGGCAGTCGGCCAGCGTTACAGTTGTAGTGGGCGTTTTGCTGCGCCATCCATGGGCTTCCTCTTCTGAAGAGTTCAAAATGCGTTTGCTAGAAAATGATGTTAGTGAACCATACAGTTGATCACAAAACGGTTAATTAACATAACTTTGAATTTATATTAGGAGAAATATAAGGGAGGACTGTATAAAGTGATACAGAATGAAAAAATTACAGAAAAAATGCTAACTGAAAGCTGTTGCACACGGAAGTGAGAACATAGCGATATAAGTGTATTGCGAATAAAGATGGTTCTCTGCCAGGGTTGCACACAAAACATCTGTACGTTTCTATGTTTAATTGTTCATAAACAAGTTGTTACAATTGAAACGATGCAGGTCCTAACGGTTTAGCATTACTGCTCTTCGAATCCCATTACGTGGAGTATCTGCCTATTCACAACGAGCAGCGTTTTCTTCAGTGCCCTTTGGTGAGCGCACCTTCCTTACAGGTTCTCTAGTATTTTATGTACGGTTCTATCAAGCTTTTCAACAATGATGTCGCTTGCAGGAGGGATTTTTTTTTTTTTTTAAGTTGCTCTTACCAGATTTTGAAAAGCAAGATTTCAATTTACCAGGCTCACTGGAAAATTAAAAGCTTCCTTCTCCCTCCTTCACCCCCAGCATCAAAAATAAGATGCATCTTATTGCAGTAAAAATGCAATGATCACTGTGGTACTGTTCATTAGTCACTTGTTTTGCAAATGATGTAACTGGTTTTTTTTCTGTCTGACACTGCCATAAAGTGCTGTTAACTTTTTTCACCTGTTTGTACAAGATAATACAGATACCGATCACTGTGTGTGACAGGATTCAACTGCTCCACTTTGCCTTGACATAAAATTTTGGGACCAAAGGTACTTAAAACTGGCATTTCCAAATCACAAGACTGGGGTCGGGTGCATTCTCTTGATAGTCAGCTGGAGATTTTGTGGTGATCTGATACAATCACACAAAATAATTACACATCTGGGGTACTGTATTGTTTGGAAATAATGGAGCCATATGAAATAAAGGATTATTTTGCAAAATTGCATATTTGATAGTTTTTACACTTTTTTTAAAAAAAAAGAACAATTGGAAGAGCAAAATTGAAACCATACTCTGGTTTAAAATGTCTGCATACGTTATGAACACTTCTGAGCAGCTTTATTTTTCCTGTAAAAACTGTAGACTACCTGGCTGTGATACAAAAGAAGTCTTTAAAAGGATTCTATGCATTTTAAAGTTAAACCTTTTATTTTATCATTGGATGATGAAGTAATTATACACCGAACAACTGTCCTATTAAAGTGAGTTAGTTCCTTAAAATTACTCTATAATGGTGTTCATTTTGTATGATGAAAATTCGCTTTCTTGATACCAGTTATTTTCACCTCCAATTTTCTCCTTCCCTCCTGTGTTACCTGCATCTTTGTTTTGTGTGACAAAACGGGTGCAGAAGCCTGTAGTGACTCTCAATGATTTTGCAAAGGGCTGGCCATGTTTGGAATTATTTTATGGAATTTATTTCATTGGATTTTTTTATCAAATCTTTCCAGCAGCCAAGATGTCTTTCAGAAATGTAGATGGGTACCAGAAGCGGCGTTTCTCTACAGAGATTTAGGTGTCTTTTCCCTTTTTTTTTTTTTTGTTGTGTTGGGCAAAAATAAAGGCAAAAATAAAGTTGATTTTTTTTTTTTTTCAAGATTATTTCATGTGCTTCTAATCTTTAACAGATGAGATGACTTTCTTTGGTTGTATTTATTGTGCTTATATCCAATAGATACACAATCTCTATTGTGCTTACCATAAACACAACAAATAGCAAAATGACACTTTGGTTCGCTCTACAACTGCAGTGCTAATTTGTGATAGATAACGTTGCTTATTAGAGCTCTCATCAGGAAGGACACGGAGACAAATGTTCCTTTGCCAGAAGCGGTAAGGGGAGGAGTGGAGCAGTAAGGAGGAGGGGGGAAAGCAGCTTCTGCAGCCCTCGCTCACTCCAGCACCCGCTGGGAACTTTGCCGGCGCTCAAGCTACAGAGTTTCTCCGCAGGTCCCTGCGTAGCAATGATTCCCCTTGAAGTCTCTGAGAGTTGAGGGCGCGCCAAGAGCAGAACCTGGGCCCCCATCGACCCTGGATTGCCACCATCCTAGAAAGACATGAATCCAACCTTTTTGCGAGCAAGGCTGTAATCATTTTGTAGATAGGTATATTTTTCTAACAGCGAGTGGTCTGTTTTTAAACAACTTCAGCTAGGCAAAGCAATATCGAGTGGAACAGCGCCGTTCATTCTGTGGCCCTGGCATCTCTCGCTACCGATAGCTCTTAGCTCTGCGTCACCTTCCGTGTTAACTGCCGGTGTGGAATACCGCAACATACAACAAAGGACAAAGGAACTCCTTGGAGCGTAGTAAGACATCTCGCACAATTTCCAAAACAGCGCCATGGTTGTAGTTACGTCTACCTCTTCGTTTCCCTTCTGGGTTTTGTCTTGTTTCTCTGTGAGGGGTGGGGGGAATCGGGGAGGGAGAAAGTGGGAGGGGAAACTTGAAATCTGAATATAAGATGCTGGTGGGGGATCCAGTGCTTACCAGCCGTGTTGTCATATTGGAAAAGCCATTGTTTTTAATTCCTGCCTAGTATGAAATGTTTGTTTTAAAGAAATCCTTCCTGCCAGAAAGAAAAATGTATTTTTGAAAAGAAAAAAAAAAAAAAATCCCTCTTTTGGCTATGAGAATGTCAGCTGTATGAGTTGTGGCCATATCATGACAGGCTGATCAGACATAAATAAATTTTTATCTCTCAGGACTCTGTCTTGTATTTTTACTCTTCTGGTAACTGTCACAGCTTTTCTGAAAGGATGCTCTGCATTTTTAAGTATCACTAATTTCAGCTGAGCAACAAATAAAAAAGGTACGTGAATGTCGTGTGCATGCTCCGGTTTACAACTCATCTCTTGTTGAGTTAAAGAAGAAAAAAAAAAAAGCACCCTGTGAAATGTACTGAAAGGCCTGCTGCAGGTTAGCTCAGGGCACAGGGGATTGCTGCGGTTAGGTTCCAGTTCCAGGTGTTTCTCTCCCTCTGTCCCTCCCTGCCTCTCCGAGAGCTGCTGTGAGCTTCGAATATACTATAAAACAGCGTGCTTAGCCCATGGGGCACGCGGAGTGAGTACATGACTTTCTAGCTGATTGTAAATGGGCGGCTTCTCTTAAAAGAAATTGCGGAGTAATGGGCAGAGCTGTAAGAATGGGGCTCACAGTGGACCAGGAGTCTGAAGTGCGGGCAAAAACGGGCGCCTGAGATGGTCAGACATGTTACGCGCTGTACTTACCTTTACTTTTGAGATCACAGTGTCTCCCCCTGCAAAAAAGTCTGTCTTGTTGGTATCTTTATATAGATAGAATCCATTAGGACTTAAATTTCCCATATGTCCTTAAGTTCTCTGCGGAATAAGGAAGAGCTCTCTCTGGTCAGTTGTCCTTTCTAGCGTCAGTCTGGTTTTGTACTGAGTTAGCCGGTTGGTTTGATTAAGACTTCTCCATGAGGTTGGAGAAGTGATGCATCAGGAACCTCAGAGCAGCTAGTGCTAGCATCTAGTGCAGCTGAATAAAGATGCTTATATTTTTACTTTAAAAAAAACCCCAAACCTTGTAGAATTTGTTGTAAATGATACTAAAGCACAAGTACTAGAGGCTGACAAGAATGGATAGGTTGATCCATGCGTGTTAAAGATGGCAAGGAGCTCACTGGGTTGTGATGTACAGATTTTTTTGGAAAATGGGGAAAGTGGACGTTGTGACAGCGATAAATAAGATCAAACTCCAGGTCTGTACGATGAGTCAATAATAAGCTAACCTCAGTAAGGCCAGTCAGCGTGGCTTTGCTAAACAAAACTACAATACTAAACTTGATGAGATGGCAAATGTGGCCAATTGTGTGATAGAATATAGTTGAGGCTTTGTAACCTCACTTGAGAATCTGAAGGAGAAATTGCTTTTGAAGAGAAAATTTTCCATTTGCAGTTAACTAGTATAATTCTCTGCAGATCTGTTCAACGATACACAATATTTTCATAAATGGTATAAATACATTTTTTTTTATTCTACCAATTTGTTATTTATGAGGACAAGTCACTGACTAGTCCAAATCGCTTAGTAAAGAGTGTGTGACAGTAAGCATCCTAACAGAGGCAAAAGGAAGGTCACCTAGCCACAAGGATTAGATGAAGAGTCTTATCAGGAAGAGAAATTGTCCCAGAAGACGGTGACAGTGAACTGTCAGTGAGAGACTCTGGCAACGGATGGCTGCATACGAGTTTCCATTGTAAATAAATACGTATATATAAATCAAAGGGCAGATTTGACCCTTTGAGCAGATATGCCAGGTAGGAGCAGAGGGCAGTAGGATTTCTGTCTGCAGCATTAGTGAGACCATATATTGAATATTGACTCAAAATGGCTAGACAAGATGGGAGAAAAGAAATTTCTAAACCAGTCTCTCCCTCCCCACGGTGTTCTTGCTGCTAGGTTAGGCCTGGCTGGCTTTGAGTTGAAGTAAGTGCTGCCCAGTCCCTTAGTAAGGTTTTCTTCACCTCTGAGGGGTGGCTGGCTGCTCACGGCTCCTTCCAGCTGTCTCGCCTTTGGTGAAGCTGCACACTCCCAGCTCCGAGCTGTGGCTCTCTAACTCATCTGCTTGTTATACCTGGACCTTCTTTTTTTCTCCTTGCCCCGCAATCTTGGTTGTTTTTTTAGGGAAGGTTCATTCCCCTTCATCCACTGGCTCTCCCCTCAGAAGCAGCAGACTCCATCACACAAGAGGTTAGAAGTTGAAACTTCAGGTTCAGATGCGACAATGTTAAAGAGTGCTGCTGATTAACTTCTGTCCCATCCTCCCCTACCTCCAGGAAGGCCAGTCAGCAAGCCTGCTCCCTTTTTCGTGCACCCGTTTCCTTTCCTGAGGAGGTGGTGGGTGCAGCAGCACTGTGGAACCCAGCCTGCCAGTGCTTTCCTCCAAGGTGAAGCTGCTGCGTTTTCTTCTCCCTCCATGCTTTTGAAAATACTGAAGATGCTTTTGTTCTTGTTGTTCTTGTTGTGTTCCCTCATCTCTGTGTTTTTCTTAGGCTGACACGCTGGGTCTTCCTCATCAGCAAGTATGTGAAGAGGAGAAACCCAGACCTAGTAGATAGGAGCTGTCCCTCTGCACCCGTATCTTGAAGTGCATGAGACTGTTACGTGTCCTTCTGAAAAAAAAAAAGGGACCTCCGTCCACTGGACGAGGCAGTAGTTTTCCTGCAATGAAAATGGCAAACTTAAAATCTGTAGAACAGAACTGATAGCTTGGGTTGTTTGTTTTTTTTTTGCCGCTGCTTTGACTAAATACTCCCTTGCAGCTGGTAAAAGTAGTGGAACGTTTTACGTGCAGCGCTCTGCTCTGTTACGCCACAGCCAATGACTTACGGGGCCTACGCTTGACAAGCACAATTTTAAGATCCTTCAGAGCTGAACCTCTCGTGCTATAATTGGGGTGGGGTTGTTTTTCCAGGAAGTTTCTTAGCCAAAACTGATGACAAAAATAAGTATTCTTTTAATAGACCAGTAGCGTCTTAAAATTAAGTTCCGTTAATTGCCTACAAGCCTGCAGTAGTACTTGCTGAAACAATGTCGATGAACCAGTGCTGGATTACTTTCTGGCAAATAAATTTTCTACTTCTGTTTATTCCAATATTGAGTACTGATTCCTTTGTCACTTAAAGTTGTAGCCGATGGGTTTTGTTACTCCAGCCATCGCCCTACGGTAACACTAACAGGATACGGTATGTGGTTTATGTTTGCACTATAGCTGTTGTGTAACACTTACAACAGCAGTATGTTTTGCAGACAACTCAGTATTTGCTAAGCGGGCAGAAAAACGTGTATGGGAGGACAGTCCAAAGGTTGCCTGTGACACCTACTACCGTGTGCCTCTTACACAAGCGTCTCGGGTATGCCGAGAGAAGGATCTAGATCAGGATCGGCTTTTAGCATTAGTCATCAAGTAAACCGCACACACACACAAAACGAAGCTATACCAACCCAACCCTTAAAAGACCCCAGAAAGAGCCAATTAAAGCTACAGAGGTAATCTGGAAAAACTTCTTTTAGTGGAAGAATAAAGTCTAGTCTGCTTAGTTTCTCCCAGGGTAAGTAAAATACAATTCTATTATGTACAAGACCTCGGCAGGTACTGCCAGTCGTGGACTCGAGTATGGAGGAAGAGATTTAAGATGCAGCAGTTCAGTGCAGAATGTAGCCAAGTTCAGAATGAGGAGGCGGGGGAAAGCCCCAACTTGGGTATGTGTTCGGTTCTCCGTCCCCCAAGTCTTGAAGTCAAGACTGTTGTCTTAAACATTTTACCACAGCCGAAATAGAAGTAGGTACTGTTTAGCCTAATTGCCGTGGGAGGTTGTGACCTACATTATGCAGGTAACTAGGCTAGATAATTGTCGCGATGGTTTGTGGCCTGAGAGACTATGAAACTTACAATTTTAGTAGTAGCTAGATGGCCAATTCTTTTTTTAGGCTTTTAACTTCTCAACAAAATGTTTCTGCTTTCTGCTGCAGGCTTACAAAGACCCTGATTCTGCAAGAAATAGCAACAAATACAATACTGATTTTTCAGACCACTCAATAATTTTCGTATTTGGAGTAGCTATTAAAATGCCTTCCTTTATTACGTAAACACAGATGATAGGAGCTGTATAGAGAATCAGGCCCCAGATATGTCTGAGCCATTATCCTCACACTTGGAGTAGCCAGGACAAGTGCCTCAGGGAAAGTCGTAAGGATCCCTGGAGTGGACAAGCATCGAATAACTTTGCTATATATAGGAATTTTCTTCCTAACCCTTCCATTAGAAGCTGGCTTACATCCTGGCCCACTGAAATTTATACTCCTATTTTGTTTTCCTTTTAGTTTGCCGCCTCAGTGTCGTTTTTGTTTTGTTGTCCTGATACGTTTTTGAGCTTGGGGAGGTTCATGAGTCCTGCAGGCCGCTTATAAGCCTTTTCAAAAGTCCACTTTGTTTCAGAAAAAGCTGCATTCATTATAGATGTTCTGTCTTTGCCTTGGTTGCTCCTTCCCTCTTGTGTTATGAGAGTTTTAAACAAAAAAATCCCTGAGGTAGTTTTTTTTCCTCTACCTTTCCTGGTTTTATATACCTTTGTCAGTCTACCATGATTGAGGATTTCTCTGAACTATTTAAATTTCTGTTCTCATTCTGGTAGATCCATCACCTGCATAGTTAAGTTCCTTTTGCTTTTTATTATAACATTCAGAGAATTGATCGTCCTATCAGTATAGTTTATTTAAATGCTTACTTAAATACAGCTTGATGGTGAGAGGATTAGATTTATTAATGGATTTACCGTTAGTGATTTCCTGACTCCAGTGAAACAGACATAAATCAAACAGTAAATATGTTAGCAGCTACAGTAAAAAAAATCTACTGCCGATAGTTTTTAATTTCCTGCACAAAAAGGCACACAGTTAATTTTATTGCATCATGAAGAAGACTAAAAGATAAAGCTATTCCATAAGGTGAAGTGAGCAAACAGGGAATTTACTTCCTTCATCCTAGTCTGTCTGTCTTTGAAAAACAAACCAAAAAACACTCAAATGAGGTTAACTTTAATAAGCTGCTGCTGGTATCTCCCTGAAATCTTTGAGACACAAGCAGGTGCGTATAGAAACCAACATGCTGCTACCCTGAACCAGAGTCACTGGTCGAGAGCTCTCTGGGGAACACGGCTCCCTAAAGGATCTATGAAAGG